GTACTAAGAATCTGCGGAATCTACACTGCTACCCAAATAAAACAACAACGCCTTATATAGCGACGTATTCGCTCGCTATCAAATCAATCCAGACTTGTAGAACTGAAAAAAGAAACTAAAAATATAAAATCAGATGTCATAGGTATCAGCAAAGTAAAATGGAAAGAAGAAAAGCTATTGGAATTAGCATCAGGAAATACATTCTTTTACCGAGAAACATCAACTATTAAAGAAAATCTTTGGAATGTTTTCCGAATTATCCCTGTAAATATCTATTCAACTCAGAAATCAAGATGGGGAAATTCCCATATATCCATCCTGTACTCCTATGATATGCAGTTGGACTTTTAAGAGAAAACAAACAACAAAATTAGCAAGTCCATAAACTAAGATAATAACCAACATTAAGATAAGATAAAAAAAGAAGGCAAGATAGCACAACGTCTTATGTTTTTTTTTGTCTGGTAAACAAAATAGATAAACAGATCTTAAGCAACCAAACTGGTACAGAAGTGATAAGGGACCAAAGAGATCTAACGATATAAGTTGAAATGGAAAGTCAATCTGTCGATAACTATCCATTTAACCTGGTTGGGGAAGATTTGTCGGTTTGCATGTAGCACAGATTTTGTATTTAGCGATATAGCTACGTACAGTTTGACGCATCTTCGGCCAGTAATAAAGTTCAGATATTCGGCGGAAAGTTTTGTAGAAACCAAAATGAGCTGCAGTAGGATGGTCCTGAAAAGTGGCCAAAACCTCTGCTCTATTAGGAGTTGGAACGACTATCTTCCAATCCGATATTCCAGTAAAGGCATCCATGGAACTTAAGACATGTTTATACAAAACACCATGTTCAACTTTAAAATCAGGAAATTTACCTGGTACATTCTGTACATTATACAACATTTTTTAGCAATGGACTGGTTAGATGACGGACTCTCAACTCATACTCTAATTTAGGAGCTAACAGATGCTCTACCTTGAAAGCAGACATTTTTACAGAACTGAGAAATATACAAGAGAATGAGTAAAAGTAGGCAAAGTTTAACTTACTCTCTGACTCCAAATTAATATTCTGAAGGGATACCTATACCAGTAATGTTTACTTGTTTTGGTCCAGTTATGAAATCCAATGAAATATACTGCTACAACACCCTAAGGAACCTAAAATTTCAAACTGTTATTTCGAGGTAGTGACTCAACTTATTGGCTACTCCGGACTTGTAAAAATATGTGAAATAGTTAACTTTAAGTTCTTTAAATTTTTAATGAATTTATTATTAATCTAAAATTGTTATTTAATCAATCAAAAAACAAAGCAATTTATTCAGTCTACACAGTATATAGCAAAACAAGTCGATTTAAGATATAGATATAAGGTAATGTCCAAAAAAATTGAAAAACAAAACTAAAAGTTAAAATGAAAATCTAAAAGCACAACCAGTGAAAACCACAACAACCCAAGATCAAAATCAAAAGTTAAAGGAGATATATATATATATATATATATATATATATATATATATATATATATATATATATATGAATCGCTTATTTATGAAAGGCCTCATGTCACTTTTTTTCAAATTATCGTTTAACTTAGAAAATGATAACCCATATGTTCGCACATCGTTTGCTTATGAAAAGCCTCATGTCTTGTTATTCTTTTACCAGATATATTGGATTAAAATTATTGTTTATTTATGAAAAGCCTCGTGTCAATGACAAGAGGCTTTTCATAAATAAAAGCACTGTCGGCAACATTGCGCGGTCAGCTAATTGTTGACAGATATTCACTGTTTGGGAGATTAATAATTAACCTCTTGTTGTTTTATGTTATAATTAACTGTTAAATAATAAAATAAAATATTTCTCTTCAGTTATTGTTAAAGTGATTTAACTTATGTTTTGAAATAATGTCAGCGAGTGAAAGTGTCGTTGAAATAAAAGCACATAGCAAGAAGCGAAAGAGGGGTGTTCGTTACCAAGAAGAATATAAGGTTAATCTAATTAAGAAAACTGGAGGTCGTGGTGAAGAATATATAAATTACAGAGGAAATGTTGTTGAACTACGCAAAACAGGATTACCATGCTCGTAACTTACGTTTTATCGTATAATGTACTATTTTAGACAGGAAATAAGATGAGAATTAGAAGTCAGTTTTAAAACCTAGCTTAATTCCACAACAGTAATATTTTTCAAATGTTGAAGATGCAGATTGAGATGTTTCGAGAAGTTATGTGAAGAGGACAAAGTTGAAATTATATGCAGAGGGGTAAACTTTTCAGACAAAAATGAGAAAGACCTTTTTATCAGTCCTTAATAGAAGAAGGGCGCGTACAGAAGAAAAGGTCAAGATTAAAACAAAACACTTCCGAAGATGAAGCTGAAGATGTTTTTTTTAAGCCCAAACATTCTGTTGAGCATAAAAGTTTTTTTAAATTATGTGCCTTGCTTCGTCAGAAAAGGATCAACATCTGCAAAAAGCACGGTATTGGTGAAAAAAAGAGTAAGAAGACTGCAAGATCTTCTTGTGAAAGGTAAGTCTCCTAGAGATTTAAGAGGCCAACAGAATAAATCGGAAGACCCTTCTACAAGAGTATACGGATCTTGTCAAAGAACACATTTAGTCATTTTCACTGAAAACAAGTTACTATTCTTCTAAGGAAATAAAATATCTAGATGCTAAGCTGGACATAAAAAATGTTTAATTTGTTTTAAGAGAAGTATAACGAGTTAAACGTAAAGTATAGTTTTTACTACAAACTTTTCAAAGAACATTTCAATTATAAATTTGTTTAATGTTAATAAGTTTAATGAAACAGCAAAACGAGTTGCAGTTGCGCAGCTACTTGTGCATAAGAAGCTTAGCAAAAAGGTTTATTCATCCCTTGGACAGACAAAAGAATACTCTACCGAACATAAAAATGCGATGCTTTTATGTTTTGATTATATGGCAAACATATCGTTTCCCACGATTCCAGTGCAGGAAATATACTACCTTAGACAACTGTCCGTCTATCCGTTTGGCATACACAATAGTACTTAATAATGACACTGAAACATTTTATTTATACCACCAGGGAATTGCTGGAAAGGGAAGTAATGAAGTTTGCTCTTTCTTGAAGAAGTATATTGACGAGAAGATTCCAGCTAATGTAGATGAATTGTACTAATAAACAAAATAATTTTGTCCTTTACAGGACAAAATAAAAATCATACGATAATTAGGTTTTTAACGCAACTTACATAGTGAAAGATTCAAAAAAGTTTTCTATAGACTTCCCATAAGGAGTCACTCCTATTTGCCATGTGACAGTGTCTTCGGCCTTGTAATACGAAACCTAAGGAAACATGATAGATTCTACACTTTGAAAGATATAACAAAAATATTACTTTCATCTACAAAATAGATGAAATTTACTGTGGATTTAGTGAAAAATGCAAATGTTTTGGACATTCAAAGTTGGTGGCTCAAATTTTACAAGAAAAATACTGTTTCAGAAGAAAGTAAAATTGAAAAAAACAAAAAAAGGAAATGTTTACTATTTCTTCCTACCAGGAATTTACTTGCGAAAGATTTAAACAAGAAGTGGTTACTGTATCTGATTTTATAGGTGAATTTATTAGCCTAACCTTCAAATTATTATCTAATCCACTGTCTATTGCTGAGCCATCCTCCCCTTCTCAGATGCAAAAAAACTCATGAATCAAAGTTACCAATCCATCAAAAAAAAATTAATGACCTGAAGAAACTTTTGCAGTATGTCTCTCAAGAACACAAGAGGTTTTACAATGAGCTTGCCTAATGGCCTAGAGTTGCAACCAAAAAAATGATCAAAAATGTATAAATTGGCAATTAATTGTAGCTAATTGTATTGTCTTAACTGTTTTAATAAAGTAATATTATTTATAAATAAACACGGTGTAAATTCATCCACCAATCAAAACTTTCCCCGTAAAACAACACTTTTGTTTATGAAAAGCCTTTTGTCAGCTATTTTCAATAATAAAAAAAAATAGAATATTTGATTTTAAAAAGTGTAACTAACATGATTTATTTTGAGTTTTGAGGTCCTTAAAATATTTCAAAAAATCAGAAAAGTATACAATCGTTTTTTATAAAACTAAACAGTTTTTTCTTGTTTTCCAAAATTTACATTTTGTGACAAGAGGCCTTTCATAAATAAGCGATTCATATATTAAGGCAGAAGTGGAAAAGAAGCCCCACGTTGGGCGCCAATTGAAACCTCAATACTCCGAGAGTATTGGATTTTAGGAAGTATAAGACTTCCAAATTCCAGAAGAACTGGAAGGGAACTCAGAGGGAGGGATGGTGTAGATGAGGATGGTAGAAAAATAGGCGCAGCAAACTGGCAACAGTTGGCAATGGACAGAACTGACTGGCGTAATAGACTTGGGAAGGTCGAGGCTCTTTTATAGGGCTGTAGCACTAATAATGATGATGATCTCTATGCTCATATATTTGTTTCTCTATATGATATCGCTCAAATATTCCGATATTCTGGCTACCTTGTTGACTAATTTTTTTACTTCCTCTGCAATAAATCTATCAGACGATACATCTACTCCAAAATAAATAGTTAAAATTCATGAATTGTTTTAGTATGTGTATGTATGTTAATAATTAGTTTACCTTTGATGGGACTCTTGGCTATAACCATTGGCTGGGTCTTTTCGTGGGATATTACCACTAATTAAAAAATAACAGTATCAAAATAATCGTGATGATATATTTATGTAAACTTTAATGAAAATAATGGAGTGTAAAGTATAAATAAATATTCTGATCAAACTACAATTTCAATATATACAGAGTTTTCCAGAAAATAGTGTGTTCCTGTAAGGTATGAACTGAGAGCAACATTTAAAATAAAAAGGTCTTATATTTTTTTGTAGCGTCAACTGTTTAAAAAAAATTAATAATTTTAATCCATTTGATTATTGTCCGCACAGCACACAATGAACTAATAGGCAAAGATATAATATATAATTTATTTCCAACATATAAAATAAATAATTTTACAATTCGCTAACATGTTTTTTAATCCAATCTATATAGTTGCTAACTTTAGAAAACACCGATGGAATATCTGAACCACAATCTGCAGAACCCCAAGAAACTACTCCAATTAATGTGCTATGTTGAGCTAAAGGACCACCAGAATCACCAGAGCACGTTCCTTCACCTGGATTAATATTTTCGGTACATACATTTGTAGTTTCATTAAATAGTTGATTACCAAGTTGATCTAAACAAGCTGCAACAATATTAGTAATTAGCACCAAAGTCATTGTAATATATGTAAACTTTAATGAAAATAATGCGGTGTAAAGGATAAAATAGATATTCTGATCAAACAATAGTTCCAACATATACAGAGGTCCCAAAAAATAGTGCGCTCATTAAAGGTATGGGCTGAGTGCACCATTTAAAACAAAAATAGCCTTATAATATTTTTTTGTAAAGTCAACTGTTTTCAAAAAAAAATATTAATTTTAATCCATTTGATTATTTTCCACAGAAAAGCAAATACAGCTAGCAACGTTGCGCTCCTTGATATACTTCATTAATATTTCTGAATCAGCTATCATGAATCATCGATCGTTAGGCATAATATTATATACATACTGATAATAGTGCAGTGATAGAGAAAAAGCGTATTTGTTTTTATTAAATATCTATTAATTAAGGTTTGTATACTGTTTTAACTTTTATAAAAAATGATTATTATTACAACAATGTTCGAAGTAACCGCTATCTGCACGGATACATGCATTTATTCGACGAATCTAATTATTCTTAATATCACAAGTATGTAAATTGTGTCCAATCAGATCAGGTTTTTGTCATTCTACACGTGGCAATTGTGAAAGTAACACATCATTTATCGCAAAACAAGGTTCATCTGCACACAACACTGTGCACGGAAATTCGGATTCTCTGGCGATTTTGTTTTGAAACCATCTACAAAACCTTAATCTTTGAGTTATAAAATCGCCTTAGTGTATTTTTATTCTTATTCCTATTCTTATTCTTGAATTATTACTGACTATAATATACTATATCCAAAACCACATCTTCTGCATTTAGTGCATGGTTATTTCTTTCTAATTTTAATGTGTATAGTATAACAAGGATATTTACAAAAAATATTAGACTTATTTGTTTCAAATGGCGCACTCAGCCCATAACTTTAAGGAACGCACTATTTTCGGTTATACATAAATATGACAAATAAAATAAATGGTTCTTGTAAGGACTTTACAACCAGACCAATCGGTCCGAATTTTTTACAAGGTTGAGATGAAGGGATGGTGTAGATGAGGATATCAGGATAATCGGTGTTGCCTTTTAGCATTAAGCTTAGGAAGATTGATGATGAACTTAACCCGTACCGCCAATTACCATGATGATGATGGTCTAAAATTTCATAGATGCTTCTTAATTTATTATATTTGTTATACTTGATAATGTATACTTACTTTGGCCGTCGGATATTTGTGTTAATTGCCATTGTAGATTATCTGGTTCTGGTTCTTTATCTGTGACTCCCCATCCAGATGTCAGAGCTTCTCCTATAGTTTCAAAATTTTGTTCTGGGAGATTTATTGGTTTAACTCTATCATTGAAAACGAAAGGCTTATTCACTTTCATCACCATGATGTCATTGGGAGTTGGACCTCTATTAATATAAATTTTCAAAATGTAATTTTTGTAAAATAAATAGGGATAGCATACGTTTTTCATATTACTTCGTATGCATTATATTTTATGGAGTAATATTACCACTAATATTAAGGATCACCTAGTTATTTGCAGGAGATCAAAAAATCAATAACTTGAGATATGCTGATGACACTTTATTAATCGCGGCAAATCAGGAAGAAATGAAAGACATAATGAGATGTTTGGAGGAAAAAAGCAAAACATATGGACTAAAGCTAAATAGGAGTAAGACAAAGACCATGATATATAAGACCATGAATAATCTTCAACACATTAAAGAAATTGGGGGTTTTGAAGTAGTAAATACTTTCATATACCTGGGGTCCCTAATAACAAATGACGGAGGGTGTGACAGAGAAATACGTAGAAGGTTGACTATTGCTAGAACAGCCATGATGAAACTGATAGCAATTTGGAAAAATTCTAGCGTAACAATACACACAAAATTAAAGCTGGTAAGGGCGCTCATTTTTCCCAGAGCCACATATGCATCTGAAACGTGGACCTTAAGGAAAGCGGATAAAAAAACTGGAGGCTTTTGAAATGTGGATATACCGCCGCATGTTGAGAATATCCTGGGTTGATCATCGCACTAACGTATCGATATTAGAACAACTTAAAGTAAAGGATAGATTGCTTAGACAAATAAAACAGAGATATTTGCAGTATTTTGGACACATTGCTAGAAGAACATGCACGAAAAACTGATAGTCGAGGGTAGAGTTGAAGGAAAAAGACCTTGGGGAAGATCTCCAAGCCGTTGGGTAGATCAAACAAAAATATTGATTAACCAAGAGTTACATAAAGCTGAACAACTAGCCCAGGACAGAGAAGGATGGAGGGAAATCGTAAAAAAACTGTGAAGGCCTGATGGTGTCACCACATCCCAAAAGGATTAGGATTGAGGAGGAGAAGTTATTTGCAAAATATAACTATAGTTAAGAATCAAATTTGTACGCAGTAGCACAAAATAAATAAAAATCAGAATGCCTACTCTCAGGTGCCGCCTTTGAAGTTTGTCAGCATGCGATCGCCATATTTAAAACAGAAACTTAGATTCGAATTGAGAAATTTGTGACAAGCTACGACAGAATTGTAATTTAAATTGTTACAGATTAATAATTTAGTATATTTGAAATAATTTAATCTATTCTTGAACCAAAAGTACGAATAAAATAGTGCATATTATGTCTATAGTTGCCGTAAATAAATTAAATGGGCTTAATTTTTCTATGCACACCAGATAAAATGTCAGTGAACAGCACTGGTTCCGTTTAAAACATGGCTGATTCCGTCTGCGCAAACGAGAAGCGCATACTTATTTTTTCGACCAGAGTGTGCATTCTGATTGTTTCTTATTCTGTGGCAGTAGATTCTCAGAAATGTGAATGCGATAAAGCGACGACATCGTTGCCAGTTTGTGATGACAGATATTCTACCAATTTATATTTTAATCATTCACATGCAGCAAAATTATCACATATTAATGATCGTTTTGTATTAGTAAAGGTATCTAATAAAATGTATTTAATAACATCAATATTTATGTATAGTATTATATATATTTATATACCTACACAATATTTATATATAGAAAACATCTAAAAGTACAATGTACTTGTACCATGGACGTATAAACATAGACATCTGTGTTTATACGTCCATGACTTGTACTTATACGATAATATTCTGTGCAATCACAGAACACTAAATTAGTATTCTGTGGTGCAATAGTCATGCATGACAACGTCGTGTTATTAGCACCAGTAGAAAGGAATAGTAGATCAACATTGCCACAAGATAGAGAGATAAATTGCTCAATGATTTCGTAGTTTAGCATTCAATAGCGTATCGTTCATACTGTTGCAGTGAATTTTAAAAATTAATCTCAATATTATTATATATCGACTGGTCCAACGAAGACTGTAGTAACTCAAATTTTCCACTTTTGAGTTACGAGCGCAAAACAATAAAACATAATGATATCTTCCCCAGGAAAGAATCGTATCTTAGTAAACGTAGTTATGCAACCAATATTACGTGTAAGAGTTTTATAGTATCTCCGATTTATGAAAAACAACCGTAGAAAATCATCGTATCTTGAGTTACAATAGTCTTCGTTGTTATCTGAGGCGATAGCATAGGTATCGTAACATGAGTTACTACAGTATTCTGCGTTAGTTTAAGGTTATGTTCAAAAGTTTAGTTTTGTTATAATTGCCATAATGTGTTCCAGAAGTGAGTTAATATTGGAATTAGCTGAGAAAGCGTATAAAAACACTGAAACGGATATTTCTTATCGTTCTTTTGAAGGTAAATTTATAATAAACTTTATTTAAAATAATAACAGCAAAGTAAAAACCTACTTATTTTTTAAGGTAAACATATTGCTGAAAGTATTGTAGAAGAAAGCAAATACAAAAAGGCGAATGAGGATCCTGGTGACCACGAGACTGATATTAATCCTGAATGTTCTACAGGTTGGTTTAAATTCCGCATGAAAATATATTACGTAGGCATTTACCTCATTTTTGTTTAATTTTAGTAAGCTTAGAAGAGAATGAAGCCAATAGGAATGAAAATGAAATAATTGAGAAGGAAAGCGATGAGGAACCATTTCATGCAGACTCTGATACTGACCCAGATTACATTCAGACAGAAGACAAAAACATCCCTGAAGTAATAATTGAACCTAATAAGAATATAACTGAAGCAACCACAAATAGAAAGAGAAGAAGCAAAGGCAATATAGAGAGAGTAAGTAGGAAAAGAATTAGAGACGTTAGTAAGTGGGCGGATGAAAAATCTAAAACAAGTCTTAACCTGGGACTTGAACATGAAAATCGAATAGGTATTCAAATTAAAGGAAGACAGATGGGTGCACCATGCGTAAACACATGTAGACTAAAATGTGCTACGAAAATAGCTAAAGAAGATAGAGACCTTTTTTTCAATGAATTTTGGAAGTTAAAAGATCATACGAGAAAGTGGGATTTTATTGCTCGTCATGTGAGACAGGTTGCCAAAAAACAAGTAACTATTACTGCAGAACAACGGTCTCGAAGAAATTACTCTCGAGAATATTACTTCTACATTCGAAATGAAAAACAACGTGTTTGCAAAACTATGTTTTTGGAAACCCTTAACGTTTCAGAAACTTGGATCACTACAGCATTAAGGAAACTGAAAGATGGTGGATCATTAGAGGAAGATAAACGTGGAAAGCACACTAACAGACCACATAAACTATCACCAGAACTTATAGACAACGTAAAAAATCACATAAATCAGTTTCCTGTAGTACCTTCCCATTATACCCGTAAGAATACGATGAAAGATGTACCTTGAAGAAGGGCTAACTATCCAGAAAATGTACCGATTGTACAACGAGCATTGCGAAAAAAATAACATCACTATAGCTGCCACGTCACGCCAGTATAGAGATATTTTCAATGAACAGTTCAATATTGGGTTCTTTAAACCAAAAAGGACCAGTAAACTGTTTGTTCTGTTTTTAATATGGCTAGTGATGCTGAAAAAGCAAAATTGCTCGAACAATATGAGTCCCATATGAAAAACAAAGAAGTTATCAGAAACTTAAAAGACATAGACAAACAGCTTGCACTAGATGATAAGAGCTTGTGTGTGGATTGCTTTGACCTTCAAAAGGTTTTAGCTACCCCTTTGTCTTAAGCCCCTGTTAAGATGGGCAGGCCACGTGGTACGGAGTGATGACGACAAACTGATTAGCAATGTATTTTGGGAAAGACCAGATGGTAAAAGATCGACAGGAAGGCCTAGAAAAAGGTGGAAAGACGCTGTCAGGGAAGACCTGGAGAAGATGGATGTAAGGCCATGGGAAATAATAGCACAGGATCGGAATCAATGGAAGGCAATAGTAAACGCGGCAAAAACTCACGAAGAGTTTGTAAAAGCCAATGATGATGATACCCCTTTATCTAACGTAAGTGATTTTTACTACAAAAGCAAATACTCTACATATAACTTTACAGTTTATGATGTTGGAAATAATTAGAGTTACTGCTATGTATGGCACGAGCAGGTGGCTAAAAGAGGTCCTAATGAAATTGCCAGTTGCCTCTGGAAATTTTTAGATCTCAGGCACAACAAAGTGTTAAAACGATAATATTCTACTCAGACAACTGTGGGGGACAAAATAGGAATTTGTGTTTTCGATGTTTGCTTTTGCTGCTGCTCATTTTCATATTGATATTGTTCTCAGATTTCTGGAAAAAGGCCACACTCAGAACGAGGGTGACAAATTGCATGCTGTTATCTAAAATGCAAAGAAAAGGCAATCGGTTGTATATGTGCCAGAACAGTGGGTTACATTAATTAGAATGGCTAAAACTACATCAAGAGTTTATGATGTTACAGAAATGTCCCAAGATAATTTTTTTAATATTAAAAAACTGACTGATACCGAGAATTGGAAACTTGACAACGAAAAGAAATCAATAAAAGTTAGCAAAATACGAGAAATAAAATTTTCGCATGAACACCAAAATTCTATAATGTTTAAATACGAATTCGATGATGGTTTTAGAGGTTGTGACATAAAATTAAATCGAAAATGCAGAGACGGCCTTCCACTACTATCAAATTTCCACCGAAACTGTATGATGCACCATTACCAATTGAAGAAAAAAGCTAAAAGGATTACTGTGGCTGTATAATACCGGCAAAATACCCACAATGTACCATGGATTTTATAAAAATCTTAATTCAAAGAGTTATGTACCTCCTAAAGTCGAGCTCGAAGTTGATTCAGTTGAGAGCGAAGAAGAGTCGGATGAGGAAAATTGAATTAAAAATATAAAACTGCAAAAATTATATCAGTAGCTTCTTCAAAATGTAGCATTTATATAAATAAAGTTAAGAAACAAATAATTCTGGTATTTATTACTTTAAAATATCTCCATCGAAAACTATAGTAACTCATTCAAAAGTCACTTATAACCATTTCTGTCTTAAATCTGTTTTACCCTTGTAAGATCATTATTAAAAGTATCACTTAATGCTATAAAAACATCCAATAGATTAATGAATTTTGGTAACAGTGTAAATACATTTTTATAATTATCTCAATTACATAAAAAATGAGTTACTACAGTCTTCGTTGAACCAGTCGATATGATATGAGACTTATTTAATTTTTTTATAAAGAGCACGGATGAAGAAGAAGATATTAACTAGATGGATTTAAAAGAGAGTTGTAAATAATGAACGAAAATAGGTTGTAGTTAATTAGTAACCAGAACTCTCGCGACAGTTTAATACATCATTGCGTATATTAGAGACAAATTTTAACCTTAATTGCATGAAAAAAATTGTCAATCAATACGGTCTACACATCTCAACCAGTTCACCAATCTGATCGATAAAAAGAAACTGTTAAATAAACAATCTCAAAGGTACTAAAATCATTTAACTTACCCATGATAATCTTCGTGAACATAATATTCAGCGATAGTTCGAACTTGCATATATTCACTAGTTTCACTGATCTTTATGATTCCAGCCACGATTCTAACATCAGGATTAGTATTATCTAACCAACAGTGGCCAGCTGTTACAATCCAGTTCGGAGAAATAATTGAGCCACCGCAGAAACTTTTGTAGCTTCCGTCTCTAAGTCCTTCGATCGATACTTGGTAAGGAAATTGACCTTCTACCGCGTCTCGTCCTCTTGCTATTTGGTAATTACGCAGGAAAGATCCTTCAAAATTATTGCAATATAAATAACAAAAATAATTAATTTTTTCATTTTTACGTCATAGTCTTCTTTGAAAAGTGACATTTCTTTCTATAAATTTATTCACGTTTAACAATGTTCTGTATTGCCACCTACATATTTTCTTCATCGAGAAGCGTTACTTGCGGATATTTTTGTGAGAGCCACTTTCTCAACTCTATCCACACGAACAGATAGCACACACGCAAATTAAATAAAATTATATAAAATTAATTAAAATTAAATAAAATATAATTAAATTAAATAAAATTAAATAAAATTAAATAAAATTAAATAAAATTAAATAAAATTAAATAAAATTAAATAAAATTAAATAAAATTATATAAAATTAAATTAAATAAAATTAAATAAAATTAAATAAAATTAAATAAAATTAAATAAAATGAAATAAAATTAAATAAAATTAAATAAAATTAAATAAAATTAAATAAAATCCAATATAATGATCATCAAAATAAAGTTATTAAATATAAATACAAGATAATCCTAAAAATGTAAATGATGAATAAATTCTATATAATATTTAACAAATTTTAAACTCATTAAGATTATTTAAATTTTAAAGAACTGAAATGTGTGTTGTTATTATAAAAAAATATTATCGATTCAGTAATCAACAGACGTAAAATTTCATTAGCCCACATATAATAACGCGCTATAACAACTATTCATTTCTGTTAACGCGCTATAACAACTATTCATTTCTGTCGCCACTTCCGAAGTGCCACGTGGCGTTTTTATTTTTTTAAAGTTATGAGTGACTATGGCCATTGATTGGTCGCATTGCTCCCTGTAATAATTATTTTCCAAAACATTATTCTATTCTAACTTGGCTGCACCGTACTGATGACGACCAAATAGTCAGACATACTTATTTACGGTTGCCTTCTATCTTATATACATTTTTTTTTTCTTATTGCGAGTTGATTGCCGATACTTTCTACATTTATTTAATTATTAAGTCGGATTAACCTTTTCTTGTTGTTTGAAACGTTCTAGACGTTTGGCATTTCTTTTTTCAGGTAGCTGTAGTTTCCTTTGTGGTTAGTGTTAGTTGTTGCACTGAAAACTATCAGGGACTCCTACCTCTATTGCCACAAATTGGTTACACTGCTCCTGAAGTAATCCTTTTTTAAGTTAACTTTCTCCTATCCTAACTTAACTGCACTGTACTGGCAGATGATTGATTTATTGATGGGCATAATTTCTTTTTATCGATTGTTAAACCTTTATTTTCACGTTGGTCAGGAAATTACCATTGATGTAGACTGTGAGAATATATTTAAATTCCTACATGTAAACCGCTCACAAATAAAAGGATTCTAGATACTTCAAAGAAAAAACTTTCAAGAGACCTAAAAGATAAACTTTTACCAGATAAAATATTTATCTCAAAAATTTAAACTCCTCACCACAGAGTTCAAACCCCAAACGTGAGTTATGGTGGATGAACAAGGAAATCTAAAAAACGAGATTTATGAAATACCAGGCACTTGGCGGAATTACTGTGAACGTTGATACAATTTCGCGTCTCTACACATTTTATTATTAATAATGTTTATTTAGGAAGCTGATATTACAATATAGATTACAAGAAACAAAAAGCATAAGTACTAAATACCAAAAAAAACCATAAAAAAACCCACTGAAGTAGAGCTACCATAAAAGTAGCACCCTTTGTGCGTGGGGCTTAATGTATATTCAAACTAATAAATATTTAACAAATGTACAAATATAAATAGTTAAATATGAGCACTTTTGCAAGATTGTCCAATAATCAGTTTAAATCCATTGTTTAATTTCATATTTGTATTTATGTTTTTTATAATTTTTAATTTGTTTTAAATTCTCCTGGAGACAATTGTATAATTTGGGCCCTATGTAACCGACATAATATCTCTTGAGTATACGAGAGGCCTACACGAAGTACAAAACATCAAATACCCCAGAATCCCGAGACAAACATAGAAGAATACGAAATGAAACAAATCAGTTAGTAAGAAGAACAAAAAATGAACACTGCGAACAGTTTACAAAAAGGATAGAGAGATACTTCTACGGTCCACAAAAACAAATATGGAGATATATAAGAAAACAACAATAACAAATGGCAGAATTAAAGGAATACAATAATATACCAGCAAACGAATGGGAAAGATACCTGACGGAACTGTTTAAAGCAAAGGAAAATAATAATAATCAACACAATAACGTATCTGAATTAAGACACGAAATAGAAATCAATTTTCAGGAAGTAGAAATAGCCATAAATTCGCTCAAAAATAGAAAGTCACCAGGACCAAACGGAATAACCAACGAGCTTCTAAAATTCGGAGGAGAAAGTATAACCCTGGAGATGACAAAACTTATACAAAACCTAATATTGCACTTCAAGATACCAGAGGCATGGAGAAACAGCATAATGATACTAATGTTCAAGAAAGGAGATAAACAATACCCTAACAATTATAGAGGTATAAATCTACTGAACACCGCACTTAAGCTTACCACAAAAGTCCTAACCAATAAACTAAAACTTTATCAGATGAACAACAAGGATTCAGATCCGGGAGATCCTGCGTAGACGCCGTATTTGTACTGAGACAAATCACAGAAAAGGCCATCGAATACAATAAACCAGCATACCTATGTTTTATAGACCGCATCCAAGAAGGCTTTCGATCGCATCCAAGTCGAAGACGTCTTACACTTACTGTATAAAAGAAACATACCAATCAATATTACACAAACCATCGAAAACATCTACCTCCATAATCGAAAACAGGCAAAGATAAATGGAAAACTAACAGTGCGTACCAGTACAAAGCGGAGTTAGACAGAGTGACTCATTGAGCGCACTTCTCTTTAATATAATAATAGACGAAATAATACAAGCAGTACGTAAAGGTCATGGCTACAGAATGGGGAACAAAGATATCCAAATATTATGTTATGCAGATGACGCCGCATTAATCGCGGAGACAGAAGATGAGCTCCAAAGATTAACACATATCTTCAATACAACAGCTAAGAAATACAATATGATAATATCAGCAGAAAAAACCAAATGTATGACAACATCTAAATACCCACTATGGTATAAAATCGAAATTGATGGGAAAATAATAAAGCAGGAAGCAAGGTTTAGATATCTGAGAATAGATATAACTAGTTACGGAGATGTTGAAGAAAAAGTACGACAACAAAGCTTAAAAGCAAGTAAAATGGCGGGTTCTCTTAATGGCACAATCTGGAAGAACAAACACCTAAGACAAGACAGAAAAACAAAAATCTATAAAGCAGCAATTAGACCTATATTAACATTCACGGCGGAGACAAGACCTGACACATCTAAAACGAGACTACTGCTAGAAACAACAGAGATGAAAATACTCCGACGAATATCAGGGAGAAGTCTGTTGGATAGGGAGATAAGCGAAAACATAAGAAGAGCATGCAATATAGAAGACATAAATGGATGGGTGACAAAACGAAAACAGGAGTGGAATGAACACATCAGTAGAATGACAGAGGATAGAATAGTACGAATAGCACAAGATAAGTCAAAAAAATGGACGAAGAAGTATTGGCAGACCAAAAAAAAAAAAAAGATGGTGCGACAATTTAAACAATTTAGGAGGCTAATATTGAAGAAGAAGCAGGCTTTAAAGCCTCCATACTAGAAGGAAGAAAAAGAAGAAAGTGTATGAATTTATTACATTTAGCTAAAATTTAGTAAATAGTTTAATATTTCTCAACATCTTTCCATAACTCGTTCTAAAAATAAATTTTCTAATGTTTTTATAGGTACATTATATATTTATTCCTGCATGTCCTTCTATCGGTAACATGTGGAAATCTTTAATTATAATTCTTCTTAACTCCCAATCTGCTCTGTTCTGTTTGTCTTGTACTGTACATATTTTTATATCTGTTTTTTTTAAACATTTTAGGATCCTTGCGAATTTCTTTAATAATTGACCAATTTTTACTATTTTTCACTATTACTTGTTACTTCACATTTATCTGTGTGCACATTTGTATCAAGGTTCTGGAGGTTCTTGATATGTCGAGTGTCTCAATGATGCTCGTAGTCCAGACTACTATTTATACTATTCTTCATATACTAGTCTCTGATTGTAATCTCCCTCTATTTTTCTAACATATTTTTTTCTGTGTCTTTATTTAGTTGCTTCAGCTCTACTTGTATTCGTAATAAGGCATTAGCTGTGGCGCTGCAAGGCATCTCTTTTCACGTATCTAATTTGTAAAGTTGTATTACTCCAATTTCAATCTGAATTTGTTAAATGTGCTTGAAGGTTTTTCATACCAAATGGGTAGGTACACTAATAAGCGATTACTATTTGACAAGGTAAGCTCTTAGTTCTATGCCTGATGCAATTGTCTTTAGAATAAACTTATATTTCTCTGATAAATTTGGGAATTCCATCACTGAAGAGTTTGATAATGGCTGCTTCTGCAAAATGGTTGATATGTTTTCTGTAATAATTCGCAAATGCTACCAAACTTCTTGCATCCTACGGTGTAGGATACCATTTCATTACCATGATCTTCTCAGGATCTGGTGCTGCATTCTTATTCGAAATATTGTGTCCTAAAGATAAGCTTTTCTTTTCTTATTCTTTCTAATACCTTCATTAGGTTTTGTTTATGCAGTTGCAAACTGTTGCCAAAAACGATATCAATGTTATGTAGCAAAAAAAGCTTAAAAAATAGTATATCCAAACATAAAATTAAACATTTTAAATCCTGCTCTGGAAAATACATCAAAGTTATTAATACTATTGTTCTTACCCTTAATTACACAGAAAATAGCTCCTAGAAACAAAAAATAAGCCAACAAATTCTTCATGATCATTGAAATCATCAAACCAACAAACTAATAAATTATTGAATAATTGGTTGTTTTATATATGGATAAAGTACTTATAGATAAAAGAAAAGATAATTAACAGAAAAAATATGTACCTATTATTATATGTATCTAAAACTTTTTTATTTAAAAAAGACAGTCGCATCCACCCATAGGTTATTTGCGACATTTCTGTAACATTTAAAACTTTTCAATCTTTGTAACAATCAATAATTGTAAGCAATTAAATATTTGTGACAATAAATTACTCAATTTAAATTTTATGTAACATGTTTACACATTTTAAGTACCCTAATAAATTGTCCGAAACAAAATTTTTATCCATTAATGCTTTCAGGTTGTTTGGTAAATTATAAAATTGTCTTTGATTTACATATTTAGAACAGTCTATTAAGAAGTGCTTTATACTGTCTACTGTATTTCATGTTTCGCAATTTATACCTGCAGTGTCCAAGTCGTAGACGTGTAATAATTTCAGATATTCTACTTCTGGCAGTGGACTTCCTTAAAAAAATGTCACTTTTGATGGTTCTGAGTTTAGAACTAGAATCATTTCACTTCCGATTTCATGCACTTAGCACCTCATTTTTGAGATAAACTTTTTAGATCGCTAGCGATACTCCGACACTCTGTTTTTGATGTGTCATTGGTGATAGCGTTACACGAACTAGTATCTGCTTATTCATTCCCTTCTTTACCTATGTGACATGGTATCCACAGGAAGTGGATTCTTCTGAAATTTTCTTGAGCTTGCATTAGATCGACCATTATCATTTTTCCATTGGGGTGTTTAGGGTATACATTTTGTATAACTTTGATTGCGCCAAGAGAGTCGAAATGGACTAGACAATAAAGGATGTTTTTAATATTTTACATCAGGAAATTGTTTACCAATTAGATATAAGAGCTTAGAAAGACGATTTAAAAATCCATAAATATTCCATTGAAGTAGAGACTTAAATCTTATTGTTGGCTTAATTGAGAAGTGTCACTTTCAAAGTCCGATGCGTCATTACCAAGGTAATTATAGATTTTTTCCTTTAAATGGGGGTAAACCTTACTGAGCATACCGGACAAGGCTGGTAGGTGGTATATTCCTGAATTGTGTGCACAGTGTAGGATCTGTTAATCCAGTGATATTCATTAGTAGCATGGTAAGTTGGTCAAAGTTTAGAGCGAAAGGTGGAAAGTGATTTTCTATGAAGTTTTTAGCAGGTTCAAGTAAGAAAGATAATGAGCATTTAGAAGTGTTTGCTGAACTAATTTTATTTTTGTTTAGATTTTGCTTGGACTTCAGCATTGGAGAGGACTTACATTGTTTTGAAAACGGATGTGTTTCCGTTGAAATAATTTCATCAAAGCTACATTTTGCTTGATTAATTATGTGACTGTCCTTATTTGATGCATCTACTTTGTTCGGTATCTCTGGGTCATTAGAAATGGGTATTTGTCAACATTGAGAAGGGTTTGTATCATTGTAAAGATATATTTGGTGTGGTGGATAATGATGTTTCATTGCTTTGGTTGGGAGTTAATTGAGCTAGTGGGTTAGTTACTTAGTAGGAGTTAATTGAGTACTGTGATACAATGTGACCTGACTTCTTATAGTTATAACAAGCTAAACTGTCTTGAGAAATGATTATTCTATATGGTATGTTGTCAAAAACAAGAATAAATGACTCTTGTAGTGTAAGACTGTGAGGGCTGATATATATTTGTCTTCGATTTGGACTAAATAATACCTATAAATAAATTACTTACTACTTACTTCGGTTCGTGGTAGTAATGCTTTAACTCCCTCGAGAAAAAAGACAATAGAGGGAATGTAAAGGTAGTGGGGGCAAACATATTGTTAGACAGGAAGTGCGATCTTTAGAGGCCACATTAAACGGAAAGAGAGTCTCTCTCCTTGCTTGACATAAAATTTAGTTGGGTTATGTTATTGTTTGTCCCAAATGTCACATGAAATCTTATTTATATTGAAGTTTTTTAACAATTGTGTCGCATTTTAGACTCTTATCATTAATAATTAATTAAAACTTTCTCGTCTAAGACACATTCTGAAAAATATTATATAGCTACTGTTGATAAGTGTCGGAAATTTTAAATTTCGAGCATTCTCATTTCCGGATATGTCCGCCATCAGAGGCCACTTTTTTGGTCTCCTTTTCGTAAGGATTAGATTCCCTCTTTTGTCTTATTGCTCGATGTTTAACCCTTAAACATTAAAGCAAGAGAGGTTTACAGTATAAGAACAAGTCAGTATACGAATGATTTATAAAGTTACATTAAACCACATGAACCTACAATGAACAAGCGACATTGAAAACGCACACTTGTTTGTATAATTAAAATTTAAATACGAAGATGGTATTAGAATAGAAATCAATCAATAATAATTAGTCATTGTAGATATATAGTTTAAGAAGAATTTAACAATAGAATAAAAAAACATTAGAAAACAACTAGTAGATCCAGAAGAACTATGGAGTGAATTTAAAAACCAAGTTAACAAAATCTTCACAAACAATGATTATAGAAAAAACTTAATCATGAAAAATAATTGGATAACAGACGACATCTTGAAATTAATATAACAACGTCGACTGATAAAATCTAATGTAACAGAATATAGGCACCTGCAGAGAAGAATAAAAAAGGAGATAAAATTAGCCAAAGAAAAATGGATGAGAGAAATGTGCGACGAAATGGAGGATGTAATATCTAAACACGACTTATTTAATGTGCACAAAAAACTAAAAGAAATGAGTAATATATTTAAAAACGAGTTTCCTCTGTACTTGTTGACACTAATAAAAAAATTATTGTAAATGGGCAAGAAATAAGATTGAAGATGACCGGAATAATATTGCCGAATTCTACCAAAACTGTACTGAACTGTACTAAACTACAAGTTGCAGAAAGAGCAATGGAGAGAATTATGTTCGGGATTTCTCTACGTGATAGAATACCCAATGCTACTATACGCAAAAGATCAGGAGTAAGCAGACGTTATTGAAAGGATAACAACACTAAAGTGGAACTGGCCAGGTCATGTAGCAAGATCAGTTGATGACCGGTGGACAAAAAGAATTTTGGAATGGAGACCCCGAATACAAGCTTACAGAAACAGAGGTCGACCCCCAACGAGATGGACAGATGACATAAAAAGAGTGACTCAAATTGGATTCAGATGGTGCAAAATCGGACTAAGTGGAAAAGCATGCGAGAGGCCTATGTTCAGCAGTGGACGTTAGAGGCTAGTTGATGATGAATGATGTACTGACGGCACAGAAATTATGAAATGCGGAGTAGAACATGCTATAAATAATGCTAAAATTAGAAAAGCTTGTGGTCCAGATGATACATCAACTGAGTTGCTAAAACTAATAGAGAACGATAACATAAAAGTAGTAGTAAGACTTTTTAATTCAATATATAACATCTGAGTGATTCCCGCAGATTGGCTCAAATCCATCTTTATCGCAATACCTAAAAAACACAATGCGAAAAAAATGTTCAGAATATCGATTAATTAGCCTAATGAGCCACACTCTTAAAATTTTCCTAAGAATACTTCACAACAGAATTAGACGCAAATGCGAAGAAGATCTTGAAGATACCCAATTTGGTTTTAGAAATGCTATGGGACCCAGGGAGGCACTTTTTGCGCTTAACATCCTATTACAAAAATTCCGTGACCAAAGAAAAGATGTATTTGCATGTTTCTTGGACTTCGAAAAGGCATTCGATAAAGTACAGCATGTAAAAATAAATGCAAATACTGAAAAATATCGGAATAGATGACAAGGATATTCGTGTCATTAAAAATTTGTACTGGAATTAAACTGCTATCGTAAAAATTGTAGATAACTACACCGATGAAATCTCTATACGAACGAGAAGTCAGACAAGGTTGCATTTTGTTTTGCATACTCGGACCAGTTATTTCAAAAGGCACTTGAGAGACAACCATATGGAATAAAAATCAACGAGAAACTACTTAATGTGATTAGATATGCAGACGATACAGTAGTTCTATCGATAATATTGAAGCTCTTCAAATTCAGCTTGATCGTATTCGCGAGGGAGAAGAGGAAATGGGCATTAAAATAAACTCAAACAAAACCAAATTTTTAGTGTTTAGTCGTGACCCACATCCCGATGCAAAGCTTCAATTGAACGGAGTCCAAGTTGAGAAAGTTCACACAATGACATATTTGGGAACTGTGATACTGTACCAACTAGATCCAGACATAGAAATAAAACGTAGAATAGCAATGACTAAAACTACTTTTATGAAAATTAAGTCATTTCTTTGCAATAACCATCTCAGTTTAGAACTAAGGCAGAGAATGTTTAAGTGCTATGTTTGGTCTGTACTTTTGTATAGTGCAGAAGTGTGGGCGCTAAAAGTATCGATCATGAACAAAATTGAAGCATTGTAAATGTGGGTTCATAGACGAATGCTGAAAATACCTTGGACAGCAAGAAAAACTAATGAAGAAGTATTAAGTAGCTTCAACAAAGACAGAGAACTGCTAAAGACTGTTAAACATCGAAAAATGTCTTATCTGGGACATATAGTAAGGGGAAGTCGATAAAAATTTTTACAACCAATCCTTAAAGGCAAAATAGAGGGCCGTAGAGGTGTAGGAAGAAAACAAGTTTCTTGGTTAAAAAAACATTCGTGAATGGACTCAGATACCAAATACAGGACAATTATTCCATATTGCAGAAGATCGAGAAGCCTTCGTAATGTTGATCACCAACGTCGGATAAATCTGATATGGTACGCGAAGAAGAAGAAGATATATAGTATTTCGCAAATTAGTGTAGGTCGATGTATTCTCATTTTACTGGCTGACATTGTAAACACAGTCAGTCATTTAATCGTAGAGAACTAAATATAGTGTTAAAATGTAAGTAGTGACAAACAATTAACAAACCCCTTACATATCCATTCTATACCACATGGCGATCTCTGCAA